TGTCCTCGAAGATTACTGGCCTTAGATGCCATTAATCACAACTTCCTTGTTCTTTTATTGCATATCACACACCTCCCTCACCACATCTCATGTCCGTCTTCACTGTAATAAAACAAACACAATACAAAAGCACACAACAGTGGTCATTGAACAGATCCACTGAATGGTATTAATGACTGATAGCATTTTGACTGTGTTGTAGGTGATCAAGCACTGCTTTTCTGAGGCAAGTGAAAAGGGCAATCCAGTAGTCTAAATGAGAAAAGATCGGTGTTTGAATTTATAAAAATAACATAAACTTATGTCATCAGGTAGCTGTTGTCGTGGTAATGGTGTTTTGAGGTGTTAATTTGCTGTTAGAAAACCGTATTTCCCACTCTGTATCATTTCATTCATTACTAAAAAAACGAATTATGCTCATCGTCACTATGCAACCACAATATATCTTGACAGGAGTTGGGTGTTTTAATAGTCCTGCAGCCGGCCATAGAATCAACATTGATCATCTGCTGCCACCTGCTGTCTGCAGGCTTTAGTACAGTAGTAATATATTAGTGAACCATATGAAAATTGAAAAGAAAAATCGTAAATTCACAGCGAAATTAACAAAAACGGTTTTGTTGTTGAGGTTTATCTAGGTGAACATTTCATGCAAGTTTTGTATTGGATTAATTCAAACTTTAACAATGCACGTTATATTCTCAACTCCAAACTTCTTCGGCCTTTAAAAAATAAAACCCTGTGACACGTATAAATTCATAAACTTCGTCGCTATTACAGGGATTTGGATTATTCTACTACACCATGAATTTATCCATGCAAACACAAAGACATTTTAAATGCAGTGCCTCGCAACTGGAAGAAAAGACATCCAAACACAAAGACTGCATCCATACTGTGTGTTATAATATGCCTGTGTGAGCAGATAAAGATTCTTACACCAAATAACTGATCCAAACAAAGTAAAATAAGTTGGTTTTTTTTGTCCTGGCTCAATATGAGATGGCAGAGATGGTACCACCCTGATCATGTTCACACACATAGATGTATAGGCTTCTGTCGTGGACTGTGTAGGTCAATGTGCTAAATTATTGCAGAAATAGTCTATAATGCGAATCCCTGGTTAATAAATGCTCATCTTCAAGTTGAGTCATAGCATATCATATTCAGCCATATTTGAGAATGAGGATATGACCACAAATACTAAGAAGTAGAATACCTTGTAAAACAATTCAATAGTGGCAGAATATTATTTACACAAAAGGTACTCTGTTTTTGAAGTAGTACTAATCCTCCTATACACTTTTAACATTTGATAAGGCACCCTTTATTTATATCTATTTTTATTATTTGACTTCCTAATTCAAATGATTTTGCCGTTGTCAATGGGCCTGTGAATGTATTGTAATGTGTGTCTATCTGAACTCTTGTATTCAATAAAGTGGGAGATATGGTGGATTGGATACAGAGAGTAAATAGCTGGCAGCGACAATGTTTCGACCGCCAGTTATGCTGATTACAGTCCACGCGCAATGCTTGTATGAAAAGAGTGTTTTCCATGAAGCCGGTACCGGCAGAGGTTTGATGAAAGTTTAAATCGGGATTAAAGTGCACCTGCCTCGCAATTTTCTATGCAGAAAAAACCTGTTTCAATTTTGAAAAGCCTCCTTGAGTGCGTCATAGGCGAACTACTCAACCTGAAAAACTGGCATAACCGACAACCAAACTAATTTATTCACGTGTTGTCACCCGCTTTGTTCCCTCCTCTTCAGGTTCAATAGGCGAGGCTTTACTGTTGAACCGTATTGCTCGGTGTGAGACACTATAGGTAAGACGTGTTTTCTTTGTTTCCCTTGGCTGCCCGTGAGTTTTGTACATGAGCTTCTGGATTGTTAAGCTCAAGTTTTAAGCAATTGGCCTAGAGCGTGTTCTTATCTTAGATAGTGCAGTCTGAGATCATCAGGTAGTCCTACTTCCTCCTGACAGCACATCTGAAATCATAAAATAAGCACATGCTCTTGTATTGCATTATTGATTGTATTATATGATAATATCCTTCCATTGTTCGTCGCATGCACTGCCTCTGACGGGGCAAATTGTGTATACCAGGAAATGATGGATCATGCACACTACGCTGGTGCTTAATGGGAGTAGTACAAACAAATAGACAAGGCACGATAGACGTTTCTCTGTGCAGGACTTATCAAACATAGAGCTGACGACTTAAGGTATGAACATGTTTTTAACAATGCATCATAACCACAAATCACGAAAAATAATGCAGGCTAATGCCAATATTCATTTGGCATATTAAAAAAAATGGATTAGATCTAGTATCGGTACTAGATGAAAAACGGGAAAATGCAATACTGGAGGCTGAAACATCTAAATAAGTGAACTGGTTTGATTTATGACCACTAAGAAATAGTTTTGTTTTTAAAGAATCGGGAATAATACATTGACAATCTAATTGAACCGATTTATTCAAGGACAGTATTTCTTTAAATAAATAAAAAGTTGGCTCAAACAAGGAAGTAGTCACGCTCAAGGAAACGCCGGCGTGAGCGTCCACCTTCAAGATAAAAGTCAGGAATTTAAACAAATTATGTTTGTTGTATTTGACGTCAACAACACCCACATGATGACATAAATTATCGATAATGATTGCTGTCAGAATTATGACATTGTATTGAAATATGTTTCCTGTCGAAACTAAGAAAGCAAAATCTACTAGATGGGCCATTCTACCGAATTAGTTCAAAGTGCGGTCCCACAACAAGAACAACTATTTAACAAAACAATTAAGTATTCAGACATAGATATTTACTAAGAATATGTTATGGTCTATTTAAACCCAAGGCATTCAATTAGATAGTGATAAGCTAAATATTTACAAAATCATCATTTATAGGGTACTTTCTATTGGGAAGTAGCTGTCCCAAACCCTGACATCTAAATTTCAATTTCTGTAAATAACACTTAAAACAATTTTTAGATTTTGTTCAATGGTGTAATTTCAAAGATCTTTATGATTAAGTTTAAACAGAAGTTGTAAGATTTAGATTTATTGTGGGTTTAATTTTAAAATGAAAGAACTATACCAAAAAAATCATGTTCCCAGTTTTCATGTCACCACCGAAACACAAGAGTTTTATCCATTGGCTGAGCCTGGTTTTTAGCCACACCCCTGAATTTTTGACAGGGCAGTGACACTGCATATCCCTGTCACTCATGGCTGAATGGTAAGTAGCTAAATCCCATACTTTTGATATAAATGTGTTCCAAAGTCGGCGTGTAACCTTAAGAATTGTCACTACCGAACACATATTCTCTTCAATTAAGTAAACTTTTTGGGGTTTTATGCAAAGTATTATGTTTTTATGTGTGTACACCTCTTCAAAGATGTGTATGCTAGCCATCCGCTTGCTAGCATTCTTTAGTTATGCTCAAAGTTAGCTAGAATTGTCACTACCGAAACATTCATTCTCACTTGGCCAGCTTCCGTTCTCATATTCCCATTCCCTTTGAATCAAACTTTATTTAATAGTCTTATAAGATTCCAATACAAGCAATACTTATCATATCTCTCCCAATGTCCTTTTATTTTACCCGTTATCTGTCTGCAGGTGCCCTTGAGGTCAAAGTCATGCACAACATTGGGCGAAGCCGCTTTTATTGGCGGCGACTAGAGGACAAGATCTCTTACACAGTGGACAAGGTCGTCGCCTTAATCCCTCCACCAGAAAACGTCACACAGAGGCATGTCTAGATCAGCCCAAGAGTGTTCACTGCAGTATATTGTATGTGAAAAACTCGATTTGTGAATGGATTTGTGATGGTGTCTGACACTGAACCCCCTTAAACATACAGTACAACATAATATCAGATATTTGTCAATGTTTTCTTGTTCTCTTTTACTGAACCCACTTGGGTAATTTTCCATTGATAAGTAATGTTTGTACTTTAAATGGTTCTGGATGAACAATTGTTATGCCTTCAAAAATAAAATTATTCTATTGACCACAAATCATTTGTGTTTGTAATATTCCCAACCTAAGGCATGTTATGAGTTAAGATTACGCAATAAGGTTGAGGAAATATGATACAACCTTGCAAACAAAATACTGTGGTCACAACCGAAACAGTGCAGTCACAACCGAAACACTGGATGATGTGTAAAAAATAAAGTATATTGAGTTATCAACTAAAATGTTATAATACTGATTGGTTTAATGTATGTTCAATTTTATCAATCGTCAACTCTGGAATCAATATGATCAGTATTATGCATTTTACAAAGAAATATTGCATTTAGATTTTGATGAATTGTATAAATTGAATTTAGAAATTTGGTAAAAATGTCTTGATTTAATTGTGAAAACCTTCAAGAAATATTTGTAAAAATACTCTTCAGAGAAGGGAAGGAAACACAATCTTAACAGGTTAATAATAATACTTTTTAACTGTAGTGTATTACTATGTTTCGGTAGTGACAATTTTTGGGAGAGGAAAAACATTGCAACACAGTCTGGAAATACAATATAAAAATTGACGGTTATTTTACTAGATATGTGTACAATATATATATATATATATATACGGACAAAGTTTTGGGAATAAAACGTACAAAATTTAAAAATATTTCCAACCTGACTTTGAACCAATTCGGTAGAATGGCCCAGAATTGACCACAGCCCTGTTAACATCATTTGATTTTCTACTGCTAAACTGCCCCAGCTAGCGAGAAATACAGGGTCTCATAATGCATAAGTATGGTTGATATTAAATATAATTTGTGTCTACACGTTAGTGATACAGCATGTGAAAGCTGGAGTTTCAATGTATATTTGGTACAATAACTGTGCAGTCGACCTCGTCACTTTAAAATATTGTTAAGTTGCATTGCAACTGTGGAACAACTTTTGCAATATTGCCTGTTTGTGAAAACTTTGGTTTTAAATTTCTAGCGATGTGCTTTTATTTTGAAAAAATAGACCGGAAGTAATCTTGATTCTGCTGTTGGCGGAAGACGCTCGTCATGTTTGTATCGAGTAGTTGGCCTATAGCTACATAGTAGCTCGTGTAAATGATGCAGGTTTTTTTTTTGTTGGTTTTTTTATGACCCAGCTTGTTCTTCTTTCTCTGTGATCATGAACAGGGTGCAGCTGAAGCGGTCCAGTATCTTAAGGATGGCTCTATCCGGATCGGAGACAATGGACCAGGACGGACACAATGGAGAGACTTTCATTATGCGGGCTGTCAAAATAGGAGCTGTGGTTGTACTGTACTGGTTTGTCTCAATAACAATGGTGTTCCTCAATAATTACCTGCTGGACAACCGGGACCTGGACGCGCCGCTGTTTGTCACTTTCTACCAGTGCGTGGTGACGGTCGGACTGTGCTGGCTCATGCAGCTGCTGGCCAGATTTTGGCCGGGACTCATCGACTTCCCCTCGGTCAGATTCGACCTGAAGACGTCCCGGGAGGTCCTGCCGCTGTCTATCGTGTTCATCTCCATGATCATCTTCAACAACCTGTGCCTGAAACACCTCGGAGTGGCTTTCTACACGGTCGGTCGGTCGCTCAGCACAGTTTTCAACGTGCTGCTGTCTTACGTTGTCCTGAAGCAAACCACTTCAATACAAGCCATAGTGTGCTGTGGGATCATACTAGGTATGTGAACTTTCTTTCTTCCTGCATGTGGATTGTAACACAGTATTTTCTTTTTTCATGTAAATTATTTATCTGGAAGTATTCTTGAAGTATGTTGAGATAGGTTAATGGCTAAAAATATAATCTGCACCAAATAGATGCTGTCAGAGATAATGTATTTCATCCTCATGTACAAAATCATGTTGACATTGTATGATCATTAATCGCCTCATTTCAAAACGGAGGTGTGGACTGGAGTCACATGACTTGGGACTTGAGTCAGGACTGAACTTGGCAATATAAAGCCTAACACCAATGACTCGTGACTTCACTTGGACTTGACCCCTTTGACTTAAACATACTTGATACGTTCCACCAAGCCCCACAAATTAAAAAGTGTGCCAGGAATTAATTAATTAATGTCCCTTCATTTCCTGACTCAATTAAATATTAATTCCCACCTGACCATGATCCACCTGATCCTGCAGAACCAACATTACTTTACCGAGCGCCGGTTGGAATAATATGAAATGGATAAAGACCAAAGATAACTTCGTACGCGCTCGAGAACTAAGTTTGCAGTATGCTGAACATTGGGGTCAACAATTACTGACGGAGACGCAAATGGCACATTACATGTAGTGAAGAGCGCATTATGACTTGTTTAGGACTCGGGACTTGTCAGTCTTCACATGGGACAATGAGTGCCTGATATATTTATTTAATTGCCACCTTCAATCTTTAATAGAGCTCTTTTCACTTTCGAATAGTTTAGAAAGTTAATATATATATTTGAGATATGACATAATTAGTGCTGAAAAACAACAATTTGCTTTGTAATTTATCAACAAAACATTTGCCGGTCTCAGTTTCTCTAATGTGACAATTTGCTGCATTTCTTTGTTTTATTTAACGGTTAATAATCAAGTTGCATGTATTTTATTTCCTAGTCAGCAAAAAACATTTTTGCAGCCCTTTTGTTCAAACAATATTTCAATTTCTGGCTGAAGAAGTGTGGAATAAATCGGAGAAATATTACATTTATTCACTTGCATCACTTTGACAATACTAGTCGGACAGATATTGAAATGTTTCAGTGCTGAAATTCAGCTTACGTTGTTAAACATGAGTCATTGTGAAATGTGATCTCACAGTCCTGCATGTTTCCATGCTTGTCAGGTGGATTCTGGCTCGGTGTGGACCAGGAAGCCACGACGGGTTCCCTCTCCTGGACCGGCGTCGTTTTTGGCGTGATAGCCAGCGCTTGTGTCTCTATGAACGCCATCTACACCAAGAAGGTGATGCCAGCAGTGGAAGGAAACATCTGGAAACTGTCCTATTACAACAACATTAATGCCTGCATCCTCTTCCTCCCGCTCATCGCTGTGTCTGGAGATCTGGGCAGTCTCGCCAGCTTCAGCCGCCTCGGCAGCCTCGGATTTTGGGGCATGATGACGCTCGGGGGGGTGTTTGGTTTCGCCATTGGCTACGTCACGGGCCTGCAGATCAAGTTCACCAGTCCGCTCACGCACAACGTCTCGGGGACAGTAAAGGCCTGTGGGCAGACCATCATTGCGGTGGTGTACAACTCCTCCAGTAAAAGCCTGCTGTGGTGGACCAGTAACCTGATGGTGCTCTGTGGCTCGTCGGCCTACACCTGGGTCAAAAGTCTAGAGATGAAGAAGGCTCCCCGCAGAGACCCTCAGGACTCCGCCAAGGAGAAACTGCTGCCGGAGGAGAAAGGCAACGTAGGAGTGTAACAGAAAAACCTTCAACTTGTATCTGAGAATGTGAAATAATGCAACATTTAGAACATAAATGATCAGTGACGCACACATGGACTCGATGGTTTTGTTGGTTTCAAAGGTTGTGTGGTTTTATACAGATTTATTTGAGGCCTGAATGAATTTGTGTGTGTATATATATGTATATATATGTATATGTGTATATATATGT